CAAAACATTCATGTAATGACAAACCAACTGCAGTTCCAGTGAAAAATAGCGGTATCAAGTAATTCTCAAATCATCTGAAGACATCGTATTAAAAAAATTAAGTCTCCAGGAAAAGTGCAATTTTATGGGGGCGCTTATCATAATGGGCTTAAAGTAACCATCAATTCAAAGATAGCCGCTTTAATTTTTTTAAAATATTTTCAGCCAACACCCTCACGTTACTTAAAAAACAACTGGACTACACTTAATAAGATTTGACTTTTTTGCCAGTTTATTTTATTGCTAAGATACAATTTCAGATAAAAATTCCTGGAAAATGGAGAAACTTTTTCAAGAAAGACGAAAGATTACAACAAAAACAAGAGACTGAAAATTGGGTTCTCAATTTTAAACCCATTCCTTGGTCCTGATTATTTTCAAACCCGCAAACTTCCAAAATCATCCATGCTCCCAAAAACACGCAAACTGATTCAGTTCTATATACAAACGCTGCGTTAATCTGCAATCAAGCGGAGTAATCGCGATAAATTAAAAACCCTACAAATTAAAAATAATTTGGACCTTGTTAACGGCAGAGCAAACGAACTTGCAACCAAGAACGATGTGGCTGAGCAAGATCGTGAAATCTCCCCTGGACTCAGGACGCTTCGATTGCTCGTTCAGAACGAACCTGGTGATCGTCATCAAGTCCGTACGATGAGCATCGGCTGAGTGATCCATTGCTAGGGTTTCAGAAAAAAAAACCTCCCCTTTTTAAGAAAGGGGGAAAAAAAGGAGGATTTTCAAGTTCGGAATGAGGAGGGAGGGAGAGCTGGGGGTGGTGTATTTGTAACAGGATTGGGATAAGGGCTCACTTGTGGCAGTTGGAAGCTTCGGTGCCACGTGGCGTCTCCGCAATGAGCGGGGGTCTCGTGGTTGCGATGAGGATTGGGTTTGTATTAAACTCGTTTATGAGATTTTTGGTCTTTCGAACAGGACGGAGTCCGAAGAAGGCGAAGGAAAAAATTTCTTTTCTTTTCTATTTTTTGCGCCCTTCAGTGCCTTCACAGCGTCCAAGAATTTGTAGCGACGGCAGAGGGATATGCCGCTGCAACTGGGCCCCGCTCAAGTTGTTACATGGGGCCCACATACGAGGCGGGGTACACGCGTCGTGTCAGTTGCGGATCCGATTCACGATTGTTGCGTGAAACCGGCGCATGTTTTCATTTCAAGTTGAGCGTGCAGCGAATAAGGCCGAAGTATGCGAATAATGTTAAATGGAGGCATGAACTTCTCTAATTCATCGCCTTAAGTCACACCAAACGAACCCTCTAATCACCTGTGAATGGCATGGATTAACCTTAATCCTCTCCTGATAGTGACACTGTAGATTAACCTTAATCCTCTTTCTCGTAGTGGCGTTGTGATCTTTGAGCCTTGTCTATCTTGTTGGAAAGCTAATTTTATTTTTATGTCCGAGGATATATAGACGGTGTACAAGTAGTATTCTCGCTTTGCTTATGGATAATACGCATCCCAATCAAGGGGTAAAATCCGTAGAAAGTACGATATGCATGGGTAACCATGGAATCAAAGGTAAAGAAAACGGGGAAATAATAGTTGAGTTCCAATCTTCCAACTCCAAGGCGGTGTTATGAATGCCAATGTGATTATTATTAGGGTTTTTCTATAGAGTGCCCATGGACACTCTATAAGAAAGGAGAGAGATACAGAGAAGTGAATTGCTCATGAGCCCTCCTGATTTGCACTAAATTCTATGGCAATTCACTTCTCTCTATCTTTCTCCTCTCTTATAGAGTGCCCATGGACACTCTATAGAAAAACCCTTATTATTATTACCCATTCAACATTGTCCCATAACAATAGGATACTCTTCTATCTGCCTCGGTTGGCAGTCAGGAGAAAATATTATCATGAGTTGTCCCATTAGTCAATAAGTGATATAGCGAATGACAACCATGCTGCGCTCGGCCGTCCATTTTTTTGCTAAACAGACAGAAAGAACGCGTCATCAAGAACGGAAAGAAGGACCGTTCTAACTCCCATCCTTGGATAAATAACTGTATAACATGAACTATCAAACGTCATGTTTATGTCAAAGCCATAAATTATGATCCACTCATTGTTCTTTTCAATTCGCAATCAGTAGCCAACTGATATTTCGCTGCCTCCCACACAACTCAAGTTCAATAGCCTGTTGACTTCATAAATTCATACGATAATATACGAATTAGCAAGATAATCCTTGCAGAAACAATAGGATAAGAAGAAGAAGATAATCCTTAACAGAAACTTGATAAGGTACTGGTCAAGTGAAGATTATATTATCAAACAGTAAGAAGTATCATCATGTAGAACATGCAATAAAAATAATTGATGTGCCTGTGGCCATCCTGGCCCTTTGAAGTGAGAATCATTGAGTTAATCATAAGCTTCCAAGTTCTAAGTTACTTGTAAAATAGATATAAATTATAAGCATGCACAACAAATCCAATAGATGAAATGGAAACACAACCCTTTGAACTGAAATTCTTGAGGCAATTTACACACTTTTATCCTGCCAAGGAACCTCACGAAAACCTCGAACCTTCAGGAGTTTTTACAGTATGGTACAGCACTGATTGGTTTTCTTTGCCTGCTTGTAAAACATCTGTTGAGAATAAAGAGGTACTTCCATTAGTCATTGTTCACCAAATGTGCTTGCTTCGTGTAAGAGTGTTGTCATATGAATCCGACTCAAATCACTTTGGCTAGACTAATGATATCAGTGGGAACTTTTTTACTTATTATGGTATGATCAAAACCCTTAAGAACTGTTATTGTTTACTTAATACCATGGCAGATAGAGTTTGAGATTGTTAGATATTAATATTAACAAAGTATACACGTAACTATGAAAGTTTGTAAGCAATCTTTACTTTTGAAATGTGGAAATATTCAAGTGCGGTATAAAAGGCAAGGGATTTAGGAAAGCATTAAGCAGGTTGAATTGGCTGAATGCCAACTTGGTATGACCAACTTATGGGTAAAGGTCGAACAGCAATCACCAGTGATATAAACTAGGGTGCATTCGGTTCGGATACGGTTCGGATATAACATTTACCATATCCATATTCACTTTCTAAAAACAGATACGGATACAGATATTCTTCGCTTAGGAAAAATCATATCCATATCCGCATTAAATGGAAACGGATATGGTTCGGATATTAGAGAAACGGATACGGATATGTTCATGGATACATATTGGACATTTAGAAGATGGATATGACTCGGATATGTCCAAAAATATGTATAATCACATAGAATAAAATAGTATATGCATATGGAATCACTATCTACCCTAAACATAGAACAAAGTGTCTATTCTAACAATCCCCTTTAGCATTTAGCAATGGGATATTAGTGACATTTTAAAAGTTAAGTCTCCATGAACAGAAAAAATATATTGAGTTTGTACATGCCGAATAAGGTTTTGAATCACCTCAACATACTGATTCCTTGAGATCCCTTTCCTAAAATTCTTTGAAGGACTTTGTTTTTCAGTTAAAATGTTATGCTATAGATATGAAGTTTTAACTTTGCTCTCTGTTCAATAACCCAATCACATATAATCATAATCACAATAGAGTTGGGTTGAGGATTTAATGAGACTATGTTGTAGGTCCAAATAGCAATGGAGGTTAGCGGTTCCCCAGTTGTCAATGGTAAAGTACCTCTTAAATGAGTGGAATAGACCCAAGTGTAACTTAAATAACTGTTAAAATATTTTAATATTTATCAAAAGAAGTTGTAGCCCAGTGGTTGGGGCTATTGCCTTCCAGCAATAGACCAGTGTTTGACTCATAGTGAGCTCATTTTATATCAAAATTTTTCTCAAAAAAACATCAAGATATCCGAACCGTATCTACAAGTTGGACCCGATAGCAGTATTCAATACCGCATCCACTAAAAATTCAGAACCATATCTGAAACCAAAACCGTATCCGATAGGTTTTAGATTATGGCTACCATATCTGCATCTTTTTCGGATACAGTTACGGATATCCAAACCATTTAACACCCCTAATATAAACCCACAATCCAACATATAAACATGACTTCGCCAAACTTGGCCAATTGGGGAACATACAAAAGGTGTGTACAACATAACGTATGAATGTGTTTTATTAGGTTTTAGGCATGTGTTCCAAAGCCTACAAAGCCTACAATGTGTATTATGTGTTACTTACTTGGGAGGCTGCACTCAGATCTGAGCTTTTCTCCACCAGGCTATCCAACTTCTCCCCTCGTGCAAGCACACTATCAGATTTTGGCTACCATATCTGCATCTTTTTCGGATACAGTTACGGATATCCAAACCATTTAACACCCCTAATATAAACCCACAATCCAACATATAAACATGACTTCGCCAAACTTGGCCAATTGGGGAACATACAAAAGGTGTGTACAACATAACGTATGAATGTGTTTTATTAGGTTTTAGGCATGTGTTCCAAAGCCTACAAAGCCTACAATGTGTATTATGTGTTACTTACTTGGGAGGCTGCACTCAGATCTGAGCTTTTCTCCACCAGGCTATCCAACTTCTCCCCTCGTGCAAGCACACTATCAATGGTTTTATGCTGCATTAGTTGCAAAAGGGAGATATAAGATTCTGACAAGTAAAAGGTTGTCTTTTTACAATATAGGATGGATAATATGCAAAATTACATGTCTTAACTTCTTAGATGCCAGTAAGTCCCAAACTACTGTTCTATCACTGATTGAAACAAAAGAAAATACTCAAGAGCAACATCAAAAGAAGCAACAGGAAAAGGTATTGTCAGAAGTTCAAAAAGTCAAAACACACAAACTCTACTTACAAATTATCAAAGCTTTGATTTCAGTAAAACTGTGCAACACTTGATGTATTACAAAGAACAATGTCAAACTGGCAAGCCACATTTTGGTTGTTCCAGTCGAAACTGAATGCATCTACTTGCCTGAAACAATCCAAATGGATGGGATATTCACTTTTGACATTATCAAAATATAAGAAACAAAAAAATGGTGGAAACAATCTCTCCAAACTCCAATCGATCTTTCATTCATAAAACAGCGTAATTCGGCAGCGACATATTATAAGGAAGAAGATACTCCTGCCCGTTTCATGAGTAGTTGAGTAAAAGAAAGAAAAGATTTGATTGTTTCTGTGGTTTGTCAAGTATTATTTCTTAGGATATTACCATACACGCACACACACACACACACATATATATATATATATATATATATATATATATATATATATACATATATATATATATATATACATATATATATACACACACACACACATATTAGATGAAAGGGACATGGAAATTTCGTCTCCTGCACATGGCATGTCCATTTCTCTTCAAGAGTACAAAGTACCTTCTCATGATGCATCTAGGGAGGGTATGGAAATACTCACAATTGAGAGTTGCAAGTAATTTTAACAGGAAAAAATCAGGTCAGTGCAAGATTGACACCAAAGAATTGGTATCCACAAAGTAAATAAAATAAAATAAAATAAAAACTCTTGTAAGGAATAAGAGTAACAATTATTCTGAACAAAGACAGTAAGGTTGCATAGTTTCTTCCAGGTTTTCCTATTCTGTAAAAAATATGGTTGCAACGATATTTTACAGTTTCCATCTCCTTTACGAAGAAAAGAATATTTTATCAAGATGAAGACATTCAGCCTTGACTAAAAGAGACATGCTCAGGGGGAAATAACTGTATCTTTGAGTTGTGCGATCTTTAGTCTGATTTTCACTGTCACTCTTTGACAATAATATCATCAGAGGACTTGTTTTAAGTCTTTCAGGAAGGAAATAAATAATATAACATACTGAAATTTACAGAAGGATCGATTAATGTGAAACCATCAACCAGGAAAAAAATTTGAATGATCCAGTTAAGCTGATGACATGATCCATGAAGCAGGCTGCTTAGATGAAATCTGTGATGTAAAGCAGATTACAAGGTATAGAAGTCAACAATATACAAATATTTGACACTGTTATTCCTGAAACTAAGAAATCTGCTTTACAGCACATAGACAATAAATTAAAGAAAACTAACATGTTTAATGCAGTGGAAGTAATTGGCAATCCTCCAATTTCTTTTTTGTTGTAGATTACCACCAGAGAATAAAATGCATGTTCTCCAACAAATGGTACTTATCGTATTGGTTGGCAGCATAACATTAATCTGTACTTTTAATCAGGTCAGCATAACATTAATCTGTACTTTTAATCAGGTATGTAAATCACCAACATGCACGAACCAATATCACAGTGTTTATGATATGTTGTTTATCAGAATCTTGATGAACAAAGATGTTGGGCTTTTTTTTTTAAGTTTACCCTTTTTTTATCATTTCCTGTCCATGATGAAGCAACAGAGCAATTCAGATACATTTCCCACACTTAGCAAGTATAATCAAAATATACAGAATATATAAACTGGTATTAATGTAAGACAAAACTTTGTGAAGGTCATAATGTGTGCAAAGCCAAAATAAAACTAAAAGATAACAAAGGAGCAAATGCGATTAAACCTCCCTCTTAAACCAATGAACACAACCCAGTTTAATCCCTGCAATATGATGAGAGGCAACTCCTTCTGGAACAAAAGGATCAAAGCCTTCTGCATTTCATGCTATAGTTATAGATTGTACATGTGGAATTCAACCATAGAGATTGGATGCTCATTTCCGGGCACATATAACCTGTTATATGAAATGCACCAAAGCAAAAGCAAACGTCCCCCAGGAGAAATAAATGAATGTCCAAAGATCTAGGCAAATCCATCAAGGAATTTCCAGTATGTTCATTACAGAACATTTCTAGGTCCTAAACTCCTAATACACCCAATGCCAAATAGCCACCAAAGGCACACTTCCAAAAAGCCAAAATGTGAATCCAGCACACCTTAATAAATCCAAATACCCGAATTTGGTAGAGTTCCTCATGAAATTTTCCAACCACCTCACGGATTGGTTGTTCCTAAATAAGATGTGAAGAATGTAATAACATATCTCACTTCATATTATATCAAGAATGGGATCAGAGTGATCAAATCTGCTAAATTTTACAGAGTTATTGGACCAATCCAACTAGAAAGTAGAGCCATGCATTGCACCGAAGCAATCAGTCAGGAATGTACAATATGACAGAAAGAAAAGAATACCAAGACAACCCATGGAGATTTCCTTTATCAAATTCACTACGTAACTTTATCATATTGGAAAATACAATCAAGTTTAAACTAATGGAAGAAAAATACTATGGAGGAGATGGTCTTTATAGACTAAGAGCCCCAAATAAGACATTTTCCATGTTAGAATTCATTTATTAACTTTTGTGCCAATGCTACATGCTCCAAAAATATATAGTTGTTACTTGTTAATCATGTTATGTTCATGACCAGCTTGTGTATGGTTGTGAACCAAAAAAAATCCTAAATTATATATTGAAGTGAATAAAGAAATCACATGAAGTTTATATGCATCCAGAGATCAGCACTTACTAAAATAATTTTGGTTTCATCCAGGTCCCTCTGAATTTTCATCAACTTATCAGCCTCTGATGGATCCTAAAGGAAGATAACACATGATAAAAGAACGGTTAAGTTAGCAGTTTTCATCCGTGATAAACTATTAAACCGTAGAGAACTGGAACTGCATGGGTATTAAACTACCCATCATAAGAAATAAACTCAAATTCTGATTGAACCAAAACTAATGGTAATATTTAGCGTTTCTGTTCTGGTAAGAAAATTTAGAAAATTGAGATGTATGCCATGCTAACTTTGAAATGCTTTCCAGAAAAATTGAGTCCAGAATACAGAACTCTGCGAAGCAACTTCAGATTATAGAAGTAAAAATAGAACAAAAGAACTTTAAAAAAATATATTTGGTTATTTGCGTAAGTGGAAAATGAAAGAGTTCCTTCACACAGAGAAATATAATTTAACAGAGTTTTTAGTTGGTTAATAAATTACAACTAACATCTGAAAAAAAATTGAAAAACAAAAGAAACCTGGAATTTCATTAAAGCTTCGTTTAAATATGGCCATGCTTGTGTAGAATCTTCCTGCACTTTTCTCCAAGATTCCCCGAAAGCCTTTTGATACTCATCTATCACCTAAATAGTACATAAGCTTAAATAAGCCTTACATCATGTAATATATGTGCATCAAAAAGACTAGCAGATAAAAATAAATATAGGCTATATAGCTTTGTGTGATGCAATAGTATTTGGCCCAGAACAGTAACACTGCCTGAATTAACGTGATAAGAAAACAAAAAAAAATTACAGCATATCCTAAAGCCTAAATTAAAACCCATGCTTGTATGATCCGAGGCTAATCTATATGGCTGATTCCTAATCAAGTTTTTCCCTTTCCCTGAAATAAATCCAGATTAAATTTAAAGTCGATCAACATACAACCAGCTTGACCCAACCCTTCATAGTCTAAGCAACTATTGCCCTTTGGCTTAGTTGCTAAGTTACACAACTTTTACAATGAACTTCTATTATGGCAATTGACAGACTACAATAACTGATGCGGTGAACACCATCACTAAGTCAAACCATGGGTTTAAGCATACATAAAATATTTAAAAGAAACATTGCAAGGAAAGTCGTGATATGGTTAACAAGTTCACCAAGCCAAACCATGGCTGCAACATACCTGAAGCCCCAGGTAGATAATTCTCTGTGCTCTCCTTTGTTTCTTAGTGGCTAAAATGACAATAAGCAGAAGCAGAGAAGGGGAAGGAATGCAAACTGGCGCTAATACAGCCTAACTAGCTAAGAATTTAAGAAGCAAGGCTATAGAGACGGGGCACAGATAGGACATGGTCAAGGAAATGACAGGTGACACTTCCTTAAGAAACAGGACCTAGACACAATGAAATGAAATAAAAATATACATAACAATAAGAGAGTTCATACATACATGTGTACGTCCATGTCCTGCACCCAATAGCCTAGAAATGGTTTCTAGTAATATAACACAAAATGGTTATAAATATATTAAACATTTTTGTTATATCATGCGTTTTATGAATTTGCAAGTCTAAGCTCTTCAGCTTTTAATTGAGGTGCTAGACACATCTAAACTAATTGTTTAATACAAGTAAACATTTGAAGCTTCTTCCACTGAAAAATAATCACCGATGGCATACAAAAATAAATAAATATTTCAAATTTCAATTATGTGATAGTGATTAAAGAAATGTATGAGACATTAGAAAACATAGGTATATTATATAATTGAGGACATGTTTGTGAAGTGTGCACGCATATTTGAGGTGTCCAAGAAGTATTTGAATTGAGGACATGTTTGTGAAGTGTGCACGCATAGTTGATATACTGGAGATCCATTTTTCTCAATCAACTATCTTTTTCTTTACTATTTAAATTGAAATGGATCTGTTTTATTTTCTAAGATCCTTGCAAACTTACAGCTTCCACACAGGTTCCTCTCTGAGCTCTATGGCAACCAAGATCTTCCGCGAGGGCTTCCTCAATGAAGAACAGTTTTTGGTAATTCTAGCCAGAAGCTGGCTGATACCATAAAACCTTGGAATCTCCAGTATATCAACTGATTCAGATAGCCAGCATGTATTTTAGTTCGTACAATTAAATTTCTAGTCCAACATGATTGAAACATACTAAATGGTTTTGTATATAGCGTATTGATATACTTTCTATACCCATCCTTACAATTTCTCAAAAAAACCTTAATCAATATGTATATAGTCCCTCATTCTTATTTGTAACTGTCAAATGGTTTCACATTGCATATATAAAACATTCGCATGTCTTCATAATCTTTTGGCTTCTTTCAATGTGTTCACTTAGCGTGTTTGGTGTATCATTAATGGTATGTTTGGAAAACCTCCAAAACCGGGCCAGGACTGAACCTAGCCCAGTTTTGGGTGTTTTTCTGTTTGGCAAAAACTGGGCCAATGTTGGCCTAGTTTTTGTAAGCCAAAAAAGTTGTTGTAAGCCAAAAAATCCCTCTAAAGTAGTTTTAGTTTGGACCAGAACCCCCCTCCCTCCGCGCGGTCCAAACTAAAACCGGTTTAGAATAAAACTGGGCCAGGACTGATTCTAGCCCAGTTTCACATTTTGCCAAACATACCAGTTTTTGACATTTTGCCAAACATACCATAAGGTTATCAAAAGCCAATAGTTAATCATTATCATTGTTACTTCTTTTTGTGTATAAAGTCCACACTTGTTTCTCATCTGGTCATTTAATTTTTTTTAAGGTCCACTTTTCATAGTTCTCCATTACCCATCCCTTCTGTGCAGTAATACACCTAATATGATTACCAGACATAAATGTAATCCCTACTGAGTAGTATTTCATGATTTTCATCCTTTCTTCACTTGTTTGTCTTTAGGGGCTTATAGTGGACAATATATTGAACAATGGCTACTATAGCCAAATATTACTGCCTAGCAATATCTTCCTACTCTTGTATCTCCTATAAGATTTGCATGAAGTAGAAGTTACAAAAGAAGACAACTTTGCTTCACCAGATGCTAGGTAGCACAGATACGGATGCAGACATGGACGCAGACACGGATATGGACATGGGACACGGAAAATTTGCAAAATGAAGTAGACGGGGATATATGTATATGTATGTATGTATGTGTACAATACATACACACACAGACACGGACACAGACACAAATATGGACACGGGACACGGAAAATTTGCAAAATGTAGTAGACGGGGACATATGCATGTATGTATATATGTATGTATGCATGTATATGTATATGTGTGTGTATTAATTTACATTAGATCAAATATTGAATGAAATACCTATAACATTTGCATGCTTCTTTATATTATCTATAACAATTAAAAATTAAGTTAAATCAAACTAAGAATAAGATTTAACAACAAAAGGTAAGTTTTGATCGCGTGGGATAATATGATGGGTGTTTTTCAAATATTTAAGTAATGGATTTCAGTTTTTAGGTTAAAAACCAATTGGTTTGAATCTGATATTATCAGAAAAACTAGTTCAGGCTATACGTAATGGGTAAATCGGGTTTTTGTTTGAACCACATGTGTCCATGGCGTATCCACGGAGAATCCGTGTCCAACACGTGTCGGACATGGATACGGCACCCAAAACGCCATGTCCGTGTGATGTGTAGCTTTTATATAAGGCCACAAGAAATTGTCAGGCCAAACTGCGATATCTAATATTAGATAATGTCAGGTCATTGGCTCATAGAATGCCTACAAGATGAATGATAGATCCTACCAAATATAGTATTTTTCTTCCCTGCTCTAGGAGTAATTTTCTTCCCTTCTGTAGAAGTAACTATGCAAGATGCTCCAATTTGTATGGTACAATCAGCATAATATAAAAAGACTGTTATCCAACAAACAGGTCATAAGACAAACCAGTCTTATGCATAGTTTACTTTGATAGAAACATGACACAAATTAAAGAGATTACATCTGATTCACAGTGAATTGCAAAGTTTCCCAAATTCTTCATGGAACCTCCTCCAGGTTCAAATTGTTCCTCATAGATAACCTATTTTATATGAAGTTTTAACCTAATTAACAAAAAAGTACTGAAAAAATCAATCGCATGCAGGCCAAGGTACGGTCAGACATTAAGAAGTGTGTAAGAGGCAAGGGACTCATCATAATCGTCACAACATATTTGCAAATAAATTTGATACGCAACTAGACAGTCAAGCCTATCAAACTTCTTTCAATTTCTACACATAAATAAGTGTGTTGCAGATAAAAATTAATGCACTGACCTTGTTTAGAAGAGAGAATGCACTTCGAACAGGATAATGATCATCCATGAATGCCAATGCACAAAGACCATTTCTGTTATATGAGTGTACCTTGTATTCTACAAAGAGAAGTCAATTAAAGAAGAGCCAAGATTAAGTATAATAAAACTGCGGAACTCTTTCACTCAAAACAAAATTAATAAATATGTCTTTTTTTCTTTTCTTTTTTTCTTTTTTTCTTGTGTGTGCAAGGTCCACAAAGGTCATACACCAGATCAGTCTCTCAGAGAGATGGAATAAAGTACAATTTTAGCATTCTTGTCCATTTCTAATGGCCCATCTCGTAAAATTATCATCTACTCACATAACCCTCTGTTAACACTAAATTTTGTGCTAACATAAGAACGCATATTTATGCCAATTAAGATTAAAACTAAATCACATTAGAATCCTAGAATGTGGCAGCTACTCATCAGTGAACGGATTTACTCATTGATGAGCTCAACTCCAGGCTCATTGATGAGTCCAAGTCCTCATCGATGAGTGGAGAGGGTTTAAAAATGGGGAAAGAGGAAGGAGAGAGGAATCAGAAGGAGAATAAGGGTTTGGATTTTAGATTAGGGTTTTGAGAGATTAATGGAAGGGGAACAAAATATCTGAAACATGATGGTAAGCTTTTCTTTAACATCCTTCCCCCAAGAAATAGACACTGACTATATAAATGAAACTGAGCAAAATGACATGGGTTGATTTCAAATCCTTCTCACATGATAACTTAGAGGAAATAACAAAGGGAAAGAAAAACTAAACTGGGAGGGGAAAAAAGGAAAAAACTTTCAAGAAGATCAAACCCTCGCATAAAGATTTTAAAGGGATAAAGTACCGTGTACAAATAACAAAGTAATTATAAAAGCTATCACAGTTGACCGCCAAAATATGGGAATGACACTCCTTGGACTAGATGCGTGCATGTTAAGTGAAGCAAACAAATTCAGGTTTTTAATGGAAGGGCCTAACAAATAGTTAGCCTCCATATCAATCGCATCTAAGATGTCAAATTTTTATTGGTTCTTTGTGCATTTGTTTATGAAAATAGAGACCAAAATTCTGAACTTGTTACATCCTTTTCTTTTTTTTTCTTTTTTTTTTTTGGGGGGGGGGGGGGGGGGGGGGGGGGTGATATCCACATATGGATTTTTATGGGGTAAGTCTGATTGGGAGAGGATTGGAATTGTAACTCTCTCCGTCAAACTTACAATACTTACTAATGTTGTTTGCTTTGGGTAGAAAGATCCGTTGTTTAAGATTTTGGGACATCTTAATAAATGCTGATGATTTGGGGGTATGTACCTGGAAAACCCTTTTTTCCTTCTTATTTCTATGAACAAGGACGAGGAAGCAAATGTGATCTAGCCCTGTGAAGGGGATGGATAATGTTCGGAGTTTTGGTTCTCTTTGATGTATTATTTCTTTCTTTTGATCAATAAATCATCTTCTTATATGGGTCCAGTATCATTTGTTCTGCTGCTGTATGTATTTCTCCGGTTGGGTATGTTGTCAGTTGTTAATGAGTTCAGAACGAGTAGCATGAATATCAGTGCTCTCTTGATTGACATGGTGCAATGATTGATGCGATAAGCAATTGAACCTAGATGCAATAAAAGGGAAATGAATCTAAAGATGTTCCAAGGGGTAACAAGGAGTAGAAAGTCTTGAGTTGGTTTACAGGGTGAAGTCTTTGTAGCGCTAGTCTGAGTTAAATTATTATTTAAGTATTTAAGATGATCAAAAGTGATATAGTATATAGTAGAAATTAGGCTTTTATCTTTGGGGAAAGAACTATTATAATGGATAAGAAGCTTTTAGAAACTATTTGTTCTTTAGGCTGCTTTATGGTTTTATTTTTTTTATTTAATTGAGTTTTATCCAAAATAAGGTAAGCAATTATCTTTTTATGTAGTTCTAAATATATTATGAAGGATGCGTCATACTCCAATCTACTCATGAGTCATGATTGATGTGCTACTAACTATTCTCCAAATTGTTTCACATGACATACGACATAGGTAAGAAAAGTATTTTCCACTTCATTTATAACATGAATAAAATCAGTAAGCCCGGTGCTGCGTACTTAAGCAGTGGATTTGTTTAAAACGGGAAAGGAAAGAAAATTCAAGAGAATTAAATGGCCTGTAATTGAAATGTATTGATCTGGAATTCCAACCCTCTTCTAGATTTGCAGTCTCATGTGAGACCAACATGTGGATGGGTGCCTTAGAAAGGACAAATTTCCTTACAAATGGAAAAATTGCAAATCCTTAATGAGTGGAGATATGCATTTCACCAACTGTTTATCCTGCAATGTATTTGGCCTTCACACTGATTTGTTCAGATTTTCTCATCAGTTGAGAACTGCTTTCCTAACCATCTAATGTGAAACAAATACGAGGATAGAAAGACCTGAACAAAGGATACTCATCATAGTGAATATGTAAGGCCTTTCCACTGTTTCCTCATCCTTCTAGAGACACTAATAAGACCTTGCACATGTTTGAATAACCCCATCCTCCCAACGAATTTAAAAAATTAAATGACTTGTTTGACGATTAAATTTTTTTTTAATCTTAAAAGTCATAATCCAAAAAGTATCGGAATGTTTGCATTAAAAAAGCTCTTAGACTTCTTTTTCTAATCCAAGGGATTGTTTGCAGAGTTAGGATGAAGAGCTATCAGATACTACTTGGGTGAATCTTTTAGACTCCAACTATGTTCTTTTGGGTGAGATCTTAGAATTACAATCCAAAAGGCTTGTTTGGTGTACTTCTGATAAAAGAAAGAGATATTGACCTCCCTTTCATGATTCAAACGACTGGTGTTCTTTAGTCAAAATTGACATCCAAACAAGTCAAGATCAACCATTGGAATAATGATATCTAACATTAGAATCAGTAAATTTTAGAGCACAAGGATATGAATAAAGGATTATCTTGGCTACAATCTACTTTTGAACAGAAATGAGTGAGTGCCTGCCAAAAGAGTTAACGTGGCAATCAAACACATATTTTGGATTTCAATCAGGGTTCTCACCCAAAGAGTCAATGTGAAATTCAAATAATTCTCATCCCAAATCCAATCAATCATCCAGACGAGGTCTTAGTGAAGTAAAAGATGTGATACAATGATGGCAAGTTCTTCTAATGTGATTGATAGAAACAAATAAAAAACTTACATTTGGAACAACAATCGTGACTAAATTGAGTATTACTGTCCCAAAACAAAATATACATTGCTTCGGGTCTTAAAAGCACTAAACTCCCAGTTTGAACATCAAAGCAAACTCCCAAAAGAGAATGAGCAACTTCATTCTACATTATGCATTTTTAGTAAGAGCACTATAAATAAATTAGAAATCAAGCTTTGCAACTGATAAATCAAGACATCTAGTTGAATCAGAGCTGATTTCAGAACACCGTGCCACATTCTCTTGATATAGAACCAAATATCAAACAAGGATCAACAATTATCGCTAAATTGTATTCCTAAAATTACCACTCCCACTCCTCTTTCAGACTAATTAAACACCAATATAACCCACCGTGGGTAGCGCAGGTTGTTTGGGGGTGCAGTGGTAAAACTGCCAATACCCCCAGGTCCATGGTGGGATCGTAGAAATCGAAGGGTGGGGACCCACATACCCGGGATTTACTTTGGTAGGGGTCGGGGATCGAACTCACGTTTCGCCCTGGGATCATCGTGCCTTGCCAAGGTTCCCCTCGTATCGCATCCCCAAAAATTAATAAAAAACCCAAAATATTCACTTGGATCTCAGCTTTGCATCTGAGAAACCCTAAATCATCAATAAATGAGGGATCTAAGAAATACCTTCATGCTGAACAGATTGGCGTTGACCAGGAGCCGTCCTCTTAGCGACGGTTCGACCGACAAAGACGATGAACTCCTTGGCGGCGTTCCTCTGGAAAAATCCGAAGTGGCTGACGTCAGAGGCGTTCGCCAAGATCACCGGATCCGTCGATCCCGACGACGAGGAGACGCCGGCGCCGCCTGTGGTCTTGAGAACGAGGATAGCGGTGATCTTCATCTCTCCTTGACTTGGATCAGAGATCCGAAGACCAAAACCCTAGGCAAGAAAATAGGGTTCTCTGATGATTTTGTGTTTCGGATTCTGGAAGGAAAGGATTTCGAACGCCGCGAGTTACTGTTATTTGGGTTTGAGATCGAGGAAAGAGGTAGATGGCATGCATTATTCATATTCGTCCCCGTATTTAAATTGTTTACTAATATAATATTGTGGTCCACAAATACGAATTAATGAATAGACCCACGGTTCCATAGAAAGCCCGTGTGGGGAAAAAATAATTTGCTGAGATGGAAATTTATCAGATTTCTACTAAGGTCCTGTTTGTTTCGTTTCCCCCAGAATCCAAAACCCATTTTCCTTCACTTTTTCACTTTCCCCCACTTTCCAAAACCTACTTTTCTTCACTTTCTCCACTTTCCTCCAATAATATTGTGACAACTCATCCCACCACATCTTATTTCATACTTTTAAAAAGGCTAAATACCCATATTGGTATTTTAATTCAATCCCATTTTCCAACAAGGTATTTTAATTAGGAAATTCGGCGATAAGACATTTTAATTGAATAAAATTACCATTTAGGTCCTTTTTCTCGTCGGCGGCCAATTTTCCGGCAAGAACTCATCACGTGCGTTGCACGTGGGGCTTAATATGTGTTTAATATGCTGATGTGGCTCTCTATTCTGACGTGGAAGAGTGTTAAAATCTAGACTCTCTCTCTCTCTCTTACTCGCTCTTTCTCTCTCCTAGGGTTTCATCGTTCGAGATGAGAAAAGAAACCCCAGCACTGACCCCTTCATCATCTCAGAAGCAGAAATCTCCTCTCTGTAAGCAAGCCCTTGGGGCTCAAGAGCAAAAGCCCTCTGCCTCCCAGGCCTCCGTCGAACCCTAGGGGCAATCCTCTCAAGAGGAAGCTCACTTTGGAAACCCTAACCGAGGGTGGATCTCCAGCTTCGGTTCCATCGGTCTCATAGGAAGCTCACTTTGGGGATTTCGACTGAATTGCTAAAAAAAACCCTAGTTTACAGAACTTAGAATGGAGGATTAGTTGATTTTGGTAGTAATTTCCCTTAATTTGTGGTTTTCTTTGAATTTTTATTTGATTAGGTGATACAGAGCCACATCAGCATATTAAACACAGATTAAGCCCCCACGTGCAACGCACGTGATGAGTTCTCGCCGGAACAGTGGCCGCCGACGAGAAAAAGGACCTAAATGGTAATTTTATTCAATTAAAATGTCTTATCGCCGAATTTCCTAATTAAAATACCTTGTTGGGAAATGGGGTTGAATTAAAATACCAATATGGGTATTTAGCCCTTTTAAAAATAAACAAAACACAAGAAATGAGTCACATCAATCAACTCATCTAACTCACTTTTCTTCGTTTTCTATCATCTTTAAAAATTACTCACATCATCCAATAATATGGTGACAACTTATCACATCCCATTAAAATTTCCTTCCATCACTTTCCTCAAAAAAAACAAGGATTGTGGAGGAAAACTCATCTCATCTCATCATCCAATAATATGGTGACAACTCATCTCATCTCATCTTATCTTTTTTCCCAAACTTTTAAGAATGAACCAAACACAAGAAAAAAATCTAAACAAGGAAAGTTGAGGAAAACATCAAAAATTACTCACATCAACCAATAATATAGTGACAACTCATACTTTCCCCCCACTTTCTTTTATAGCTTTGACGAACCAAACCTCTGAAAGTGAAGGAAAACGTCAAAAAATATTTTCTTTTCCCCCACTTTCCCCCACTTTCTGTATTTTTTTGCGAAACAAACAGGCCCTAAGATAACTGGATGTTCCAACCAAGAAGAATCTTAATGAACCTAAAAAAAAAAGATACGGCCCAAAAAGAACTATCTACTTTTCGAGGCCTTCGTATAAGCTCTATCCATATGTGTTATGATCGCTACTTCATACTATACTAGATCCAATTACATTCGATTGGAATTAAGAAAAAATGAATTTATATCATAAATAGCCTTTCCAGAGTTTTACATTTTTAAATAGGTTCTCACTTCCATACCCTGCATTTTTTGTTATTCATACTTACGTATCTTCATATTGCTGAAGGTATCATGAAATTCATGAAGTCCTTAATATTGAAAAACAATACAGGCTAATTAGATACTTCTTCTTTTTTCCCCTCCTCTTCTTTTCTTTTCCCTCCTTATTTCTTTTCTCTTTATCACTCACATAAACGTGCTTAACTAATGTATTTTAAGGGTTTGAATAAGTGATTTCAAGGTTTCTGCACCGTCTTTTTGACTTAATGGAGTAGCAAATATATGGGGGACTTTAAACTGGGATTTCATAATTTGATCTTAGAAATTCATAGTTACTACCATTATTTACATCGGGATAAGGGGAAGGCAACATTTCTTTTAATTTTGTAACAGAAAATCTAGTAGTATATCGCTATATATTAGAACAGTTACTACTAGTTGCAGGAATATGACAAAGTGGTAATTGTTTGTGTCAGCTATCAAACAAGTGGTTTATTTGTGGATTAAAGTAGAGTTAGGTCCTCAAACTCCTTCGGATGGCTGGCTCTGTAGATTGTTGTTCTTCCATGCACACGAAGAACTTGTAAAAGGCCATAATTGGGTTCGCCTGTTATTCCTCCGATGATCAAGTCTGTATATGAACTTTGAGTGGGAAAATATGAGATGGAGAAAATCTCAAAATTGTGTGTAAGACCCCAAGGGTTACCTTGAGATGCATGGCTTCCTTTTATAGAGGATTAAAAGGGCAGATAGGTAACTTAAGCTGAGTGGAGGCAGGCAGCTGACTCGGCAAACATCCGACATGTGTCAGCCGCTGGCGAAGATGGGTCATCCAGGTAGCTAGTGCAAAGCGACAAGTGGCTAGTGCAAAGCGATTACAGCTGCTTGGTGCTGACGGAGCCAGATAAGTCTTAAAGACTTTTGGGGCGGGAGTAATAATAATTTTTTACCATGCATTTAAATATGATGGAGACTGGCTGTTGGTGGGGGGCTCGAGGAACACTGCTTTTCGACTCTACCTAGCGAGAAGGGATGACTTGGCCTAACAAGAAGGGACGAGTCTGGCTACCTGTCGAGAAGGGATGAGTCTGGTTGCCTGTTAAGAAGGGACGAGTCCTGCGAGAAGGGCGAGAAGTATCGCCTCTTCATTCGTCTGGTGGAGGGCCAACTAGCATCGCTTTTTTACTCGGCTACACGAGTTGTCAGCTGAAATAGTAGACTTAGTGCGAGTGCTTATAGGATTCAATCTGGTGGGTAAGCCAATAAGTACTACCTTTTTAGTCGGCCTCGAGAGTTGTTGGATAAGATAGTGGGCCGAATGTGAAGGCTTGTGGGCTCGATCTGATAGGTAGGTCGGCAACTACCATCTTTTTTTGAGTCGGCCATATAAGTTGTCGGTTTATGGTGTCGGCCGCAGTAGCGGTTCGAATCGTTTGGGTTATGATCATGTCTGATCTGGTGTGGAGTGGGACGCGTGTCGACAACACAAGAAAAAGTAACACTTAGTTATTTGAAGGCTATAACAGTGGCCCCCTCTTATTCAAACTCAGCTGGCCGAGTACAGGTGAAAGTTGAATAAAAAGTTAAATTTTGTCTTCTCAATTTTTGTAACTTTCTTGCTTGCATTTGTCTCATGCTTTGTTACAGAGCCGAGGCGACTTAGCCGCTATGCCAAATGGGGCAACTCGACCTCATACATTGTTTATTAAATATGATCACGATGTTCTATAAAATGCATGCTTTGGGATACTAAATATGCCAAGGTCTTGCTGTAAACATTTCTAGATGGAAATATTTTTATTTTTGTTAATTTGAATTACATTCTTTTGAGAACCAATCAGTCCTTCGGGTCGAGATGACTCAGCTCCATATGTGGGGAGTAGTGCTACTCGACCTCGTGCCTTGGGTTTATTCACGATGATACTAAGATCTTGGGGTACATGCCTTGGGCTTAGGAAAATGCCAAGGTCTTGCTGCAAATATTTTAGGCGTAAATATTTATCTTTATTAATTTAAACTGTACATCTTTGAGTATCCATTGGTTTTTTGGGTTGAGATGACTCGGATTCATGCCTTAGGTTTACTCGCAATGACACCAAGGTCTTAGGGTACGTGCATTGGGCTTAAGAAGATCTCAAGATCTTTTAGTTAATGTAGGTCGAGTCGATATGTCTTGGTTTTACTCATGAGTTGAAGCCAACCCAGTCGAGGCATGCCTTGGTCTTACCCTGAGAGGGTACTGTAGGCTATCTAAAAATTACAATAGATAGCTGATTCCCCATTGTAGGTGTAAATTTTGATCTCCCGAAAACAGGGAGCTTCGTTTGTATTAATAAGAAAGCTTATTACAAACTAATAAATCAAATGTTTACAACAGAAGCGGTGGGAAGGTCCTCCTTGTTTAACGTGGGTTCCTCGGTGGCGATAGGACGCCTCGCTCGGTACTCGTGCCGAGTCTGCTTCCCTTGGACGATCCGATCGAAGTTGCTGCCGGAGCTTCTGCTCTCTAATGAGGGAGCCTTTGGCAAAGGTCCAGGTTCAACCTTTGGGAGATTAGCCAGCAGAATATGCAACAGCCAATCCCCCTCTCATGCTGGCTGAAGATGGGTTTTAGTAGGCAAGGGATGACATGGGCCATCCCTTGATTCATGGGATTTGACCACTAATAGAGGTGAGGGAGACAGCTTGACTGCTCCTTGAATTATGGGATGTGACCATACGTCGTTCGAGACAGCTTGACTACTCCTTAAATTATGGGATGTGACCACACGTCGTTCAGAGATATCCTGCTGTTCACCTGCAATAGGAGCGGTCATTCGAGGAGCCATGTTTTACATCACGTCACTTAGGAATGGGAAAGCCCCTCCTCGTATGCGTGACAGCGGCTGTCAGATACTCGAGTAGATATGGCCAACTCACTGAGCGCCGGCGGCCCTCCCTTCTGTTTGGACAAGTGAGGTAAGCTGAATTTATGAGGGTGCAGGCTGTTTCGGCGCCTGTCCGCTCATTCATACTGTGGACGGCCATCTGACGAGCCTGAAGTATTGTGCCCCCCCTACCCTCACATCACGGAAAATAAGGAAGGTTTGTCCTCGCGAGCTTGGGACTGCGGAAAATAAG